TTGATTTTAAATTAATTTTTTTATTTTTAAAGGTCTAAAGGCCAGTGAACTAAAAAATCAAAATTTTCAAAAAAGAGTTAATCAAATCAAAATATATAAAAAAAAAGGGCGGAAAAGCTGTGGCAGCTGCCTGACAGGCTGCCATGGCAACCCATCAGGAGGTTGTCACCTCCCTGCTGCACAGAGCCATCCCCGGCTCTCTCTTCAACCCCCGTCTAGCCTAGAACACATGATTACCCCCTCTTCCTATTGTCCAAAAATATGGACAACCGAGTTTTATAAGAACCCCTCAAATTACAGAAGACAGGGGAGGAAAAGAAGGCTAGTTTTTTTTTAAAGAAAAAACCTTGAAAAAAGAGGAAAAAGCGAGAGAGATGCTATCCTTGCGAAAAAAAAGTAAAACCTTAGCTTTTCGCACGCCATAACCATAAATCAAAAAATAGTATTTTTTTTAAGTCTCGTTTTTCTTAGATCTAGGAGAAAGGAGAGGTTTTCTGGAAAAAAGTAATTTGATTAAATGGTAGAGGGGATTGAAAGGAATCTTTAGTGAAATTTTGAGGGTTTTTTGACGTAGACGAACGGCGGCCGACAACAACAATGGTGGCCAACGGTGGTCACCAATCAATATTTGGAGTGGTCGGATTTCTTTCAAAAAAAAGAGAGGGAGAGATTGGTGGCTAGAGAGAGGAAAGGGGTGAAGGAAATGAGGGTGGAGAACGAAAAAGAAGTTTAAATAGTTGGGGTTGGGTAATAAAGGCGATCAAAGCAGTGCCGTTTAGGGAAGGTGGCAGTGGAAAAAAAAAAGAGCAGGAAAGAGAGAGAAAGAAGCGGGAAAGAAAGCAAAGAAAAGAAAAAAGAAAAAAAAAGAGAAAAGAAAACATGGGGGCGGCTAGAGCACTAAAAAAGAGAAAGGCAAGAGAAAAGGGGGAGGTGGACAGTCCAAAGACGAAGCCCAAATAAAAAGAAAATATGAAAAAAAACAGAGACTTAGAGGAAAAGAATGTGATGGCCCATAAAAAAGGCCCAATGAAAAAAAGAGAAAAGAAGAAAATAAAAAGGGCCTAGCAGAAAAGGTAAAAGGCCGCGGAGAAGCCGCAAATTCATAGGGGCCCAACAGTGGTGAAAAATAATGGACTCCTGCCTAGTCCATTAAAGGTGAATTTCTTGAAGCTCTTATTTTATTTTATTTTAAGTCTATTCTATTTTATTAATATGGTTAGCATAAAAATAATGACTTAAATGAACTTAGATAGACAAAAAAATAGAAAAAATTAAAATATTTAGTTATATAAAATATACATAGGTAGACATGAAAAAGGTAATAATAAAATATTTAGCTATGTAATATATATATATAAAGAAGAAATATGATAAGAAAATCATTTGGTCATTTTGAATTAACTTGATGATGGACATTCGCTCAGGGATTCGAGAAGTCGTGATCCCGAATCAGTTATTTAGGTAAAAGATTTCGATTAAGATCCCACCAATATAATAGAAAGGTTTTAATTTCGAATCCTAATGTTTCTAATTTTAAATAAATGAAAATATATTAACTTAATTATTAATTAAGTAAAATATAAAAACAAAAGAAGTAAAGAAATAATGAAGATAATAAATAAATAGTAAAAAATAATAAAACTTTCAACAATGATAAATTTACGATAGTCAATACAACTAAAATATAAAAGCAAATATAAAACTTAAATTGAAAGGATACTTCTGAGTCCCACCAGTACGATGAGAAAGCTCAGAGAATATATTTAATAAAAACTATTACTTGTAATAGGTTTGTATTGACCAAATATACTATTTTCCAACGCGAATGAGTACCTGGATGATGCAATTTACTCGTTAAATTTGCGAAAGTGAATTTTTTAAGTAGCTCCTTAGGTGGGAGAATACCACTGGATCCTATCAGTATGATGGACAGATTCAAAAAGTACACTCAATAAAAGATTTTCGTTTGGCATTATCCAGATTTTATGTTATGCATTTCACAATTACATCATGTGCATATCTCACTCGTAAAATCGAATAAAATGTTTTAATTGGTTAATGAAATTAAAGATAAAATAAATAAACAATAATTAGAAAAACATAATAAAATCAACAGTTTAGGTTATAATATGATAACATATGATTAAATGGTATCGTTTATGAAACAGGTGTAATAGGGTGCTAATCTTTTCCCGTGCATAATCGTACTCCTGAACTTAATTTTAAAATACGCAGATTAGATTTTGTTTTTAAACAAACCTAAAATCAATTTAAAATCTCATCGAGTAAAACCTATTTAGTAGGGGACTAATTACACCTAAATTAAAAAGATTGGTAGCAACTTGTTAAATTTTTCATATCTAGCAATCGGGTTTCCGGATCCTCACGATTTCGACACAATGATGAGTTCAAGTAGTCATTGGTGAAGCTCAAAAAGCAAGGTTGCCTGCTAGGATTAGTTGGGTTGGTGAGGTAAACATTTGATATACACAATATAATACAAAACAAGGCATCTAGACAGCTGAAACGGGGAATCTTCAGAGAAAATTTATCACAAGCAATTCATGCAGCTGAAAAAAAAGTCTCCTATACAATATATAAGACCCCTTAACCACCAAAAAAAGAAAAGAACTTCCATAATTCATTAAAGCTTAATACTGGACCAATACCATTACCATCTTGCTCCCTTTTGATGCGGCAAGTCCTCATAATGCAATAACGAAACTGATTTCAAGACTAACATGAGTCAAAATGCCAATTGACACCTGGAGATAATTACGTCAAGTGTTTTGATGGGCATGCTTTACGCATCTTCTCATTCTCTCATTTCATTGACTTTAACCTCATCATCCAATCTGATTCCAAAGTTGGTCTCTCATGGGTGACAAATGATTCCCAAAGACCATGGGAATACTAGCAGATTTTCAACGAAATGGATGCTCTTTCCCACATGATTGGCAATATGACGTTCATTCATGTTCCTAAAGAAGGCAACTCTCTTGCTAAACTCGGTGTTAACAGATCATCCATGTTTTCAGCATCATGGTAATGGTCCCTGCACGCTTTCATTTTTATGCACTGCTTTCTTGTGGAGGATGTATATCTGTCTTTGTGTTGCTGAAGCGATTCCCTCCTTTTTCTTGGCTTTTTTCCTGTTCTTCTGTGATTTGTTACCCCTGTTGTGGCTATGAGTGTGCTGATTTTGATGCGATCCTCTCCCCTCCGATGACTCAACCACTTACTGTTTTTCAGTGGCTTTTGCTCCTGCTGTATTTTTCTGAGTTTTCTGCCTTGAAGAGTTTTGTCTGCTTCCAGATTTTTGTGCGTAATGTAGTTCCGCCAATGAGATGATGATGCGTTGCCTTCCTTTTTTCATGGAAGTTTCTTCCCTGTGCATCTGTGTTTTTTTAGTGCTCTGCTTTTGGCGCAATCCTCCCCCTTTCTATGGTGCATTCACTCATTGTTGCCCCTGCTGTCTTTTTCTGCGTGTGCTTCATTAAAGCTTATTATCTGCTTTCAGATTTGATGGTGCCTTCTGGACGTCCCTATTTGTTTTGGATTCCCCTTCCCCTGTTTATGTTAATTTTACCACCAGAGGACAGAAGTAATTATTCATCTATGGCTACGAATGTTAATTGTAATCCTAATTAATATGGAAAGGAGTATCTTAGCTTACAATAAATAGGACTTATTGCTATTGTAATTATATTTACAATCCTGATGTGGAAAGGAGTAATGGCTATACCGACACAGACAAGGTAAGGGCAATGCCCATGCCAACTTAATTTCTATTTTTTTTCCTCCAATTTAATTTAAATAATGCATCTAAAAAATTTGGTTCTGTTTTTTTCTAGTATAACTAAAATTCTAAAATCCAATTTCTAATAAGAAAACAACTCTTAGTTCCAAAAAATATATATATATTGTGCTTTTCATATGGATGGGTTGACAGCATAATTCTCTAGAAGGAAGCAAAAGAAGTATTCTATTCTCAACAAGCGATTTTCTGATTTTTAAGGTATGAATTAACCCTAATTTTCCTTTTTATATTATTGCTTGATTTTTAAATAATAAGCATACTTTAGTAAAATCCATTGGTGTTTTGTAGCAGAAAAAAATTCAATTAGGATCGTAAATTCTCAACAATGTTTTATTTATATATTAGCAAATTTAATTAGTAATAATGATAGATTCTGCCTCTTAGTTCCAACTCTTAAATAATCACCGGCAAACCTATTTAATAAAAATTGACTTTCTTTATTATTACAGGATAGCTTTTTATAACATGTGTAATTCTCTATTTCATCAAAGAAAAAGAAAAAAAAGAATCGGACAATCTTGTTTTACTTTGTGCACTATTAGTTAGCAATAATGGATTATGCCTTTGCATCTTGCTATGAAGCTGTCTTTTATTCTCCTCCTTCAAACATCGTTATGATACGCTTTGATTTGATTTTTATTGTTGAAAAGTTAAGTTCTGTTTAATTAAACATTAATCAAACTTAGCTTGAATCCGTTGTTCTCTGATAGAAAACTTCAGTTAGAATCCCGTATTTCAAACAATGTGTTTTTTGTATATTAGCAAATTTAATTATCAATAATTATAGGTTCTGCCTCTTAATTCTAACTGTTATATAGTTACCAACAAACCTATTTCATGAAAATTGATATATATATATATATATATATTTTTTTGTTATTGTCGTTATTGTTGGATAGCTTTTATAATAGGTGTAATTATCTATATCATAAGAAAAAAAGAATCCGACAATCTTGATTTACTTTGTGCACTGTTAGTTAGCAATAATCTATATATATATACCATAAGTTATGTGTCTTCAAATTGGATTTTAAGTTCAAACTCTTTCTGATCCTAGTTGGTTTAATGACAATTAATTAATTACTACGCATCCAACTTATGGCACAACATCTAAATTACTTAATTAGTTTGAAGCCTAAGGCTTTAATTCAATTGTTCGGAAATCCCACAGCAAGCATCTATGGAAAACCAAGATTTGACACCATCCAACGAAGAAAAATTTGAGGATATGTGGAGCAGTCTTCCACCAGATCTTTTAAGTTTGGTATCGTCAGATCTCTATGCTGGGGACAATGCGATGTTTCGTGCTGTTTGCAAAACATGGCGGTCAATCACCATGGCTCCTCCACTTCCACTTCCTTCCCCATTCGATCATGATGATTCTCCATTTCCGTGGTTATTCCATATCCCCAAAAGCAATAATGGCAGAGGAAAATTTTTCCACCCCATATATAATTACACTTGGGAGATAGACCTCCCAGCACAACTAGCAGGTGCTGTAATCCACTTTTCAAAGTATGGGTGGTTGCTAATGGCCCGGCTTAAGGTACATCCATTTTTCTTCCATCCTTTCACAAAAGATATTATTGAACTTCCTGAGCTACCGTTAGACGGGATTGAATATGTACGATCAATGTTCTTTACTTCTGCACCATCCCTAGATTGTTTGGTTGTCGTAATGAATTGTAGGCCTTATGGCCACGTTTGGGTCCTTAAACTAGGAGAGGGGGAATGGAATCTTCATCATCTTGTTAGGAAAAATTTTGATTGGACTGTATGCAATCCGATTTTACACAAAGGATTATACTATAGTTTGGATTGCGATGGAAACTTGGGAGTATTCGCTCTGGAAGACATAGATAACAGTTGGGTTACCTACAAAATGAAATTTCCATGGAGCCGTTTCAATTCAATTGTTCAAGCATTTCTAGTGGAAAATGAAGGAGAATTGTTAGCCATTTTCATTAAAAAGAATGGCCAAAAGATTCATGTTTTCAAGCTGCACCCGACAAGGGACATCTGGGAACCAGTATCAAGTTTAGGAGACAACATGCTGTTCGTGAGTCAAGGTGCATCCTTCTCCAAAAAGGCCCTGGTGAAAGGCACCAACAACAAAATTTATGGTCCAAACTTTTGGGACAAAACTGGCCTCTTTTGCTTCTACTCACTCAAAACTGGCAAGTATCATTCTTTCTTTGATAATCTTTCTAGTACAGATTCTTACAATACGAAATTCCTTCAAAATTGCTCTTGGTATACTTTTATGTAAGAATGCAATTTGTTTTCACTTCCATCTAATAATAGCTAGATATGCTGCTCGTTTCGAATCTCTTAAAGCTTGTAATAAAATTTATTTTGTGTATTATAAACAATTACTTAAATCCTTAATATATGACCATCACAGATAATCAAGGTGTTCTCAATTGTTAGGAGTGCAAACTTTTGCCTAGTGTTACAAGGATTTCGAAAAGAATTTATTACATGTCATGTTTCTTCTTTGCTGAGTAGGGTCAGGATAAGAGCTTATACGGCATCACAATTCAAAGCATCCAACTTTGATGCCATTGTATAAAAATTATGTATGCTGCAAACATCGATGAATCTAGCACTCTTAAAACTTTAGGGTTTTTGTGTTTAAATTATGTCACCTCAAAGATCTAAAGAATCACTTGCATGACTAGACTTTGATTTGATCCTATGGTTCCATATGTTACAGACAGAACTTACCTAGTGTCACTTAATTTTTCTTTTAAAGAACACTCCTAGTGTCACCTTATACAGGTAAACAAAAGAAAAAAAATTAAACAAAATGTTAGGAAGGAAGATAGACATGTATGTTGTGATAGTTTATAACGTAGTTAAAAAGAAGTCCAAAAAAAGCTTCCTCCTCTAACCACGTGGAGGTGTCACGGGGTCATTACCCTCTCCCATGAAAACCGGTTGTCACAGGTGTGCAGCACCCCGCTTCTTATAGCCCAGGACCTACCCGTTCCTGCCCGATGTGGGAGGAGTGGACCTTTCCTCGTCACAGAGGGCATAGGAAAAACAAAGAAAAAGAAAGGTAAAAAGAAAAAGAAAAAAAGCAGGTAGAAAGAGGCCCGAATGCACCGCAAGTGCGATAGTCTAGTTATTCCTTAATAACAATAGTATTGGCAACAGTCCCAACGAGAAGAGGTCCCGCAAATGGCAGTATCCATGTGGCAAATATTAAGAATCGAAACAGCCATCTAGGTGATGCAAGCCAAAGGTAGAAAATTGTCTGCAAACAGATTACAAAAGAACACACAATTTATAGATAAGAAATCTTTGAATAAAGCATCTGGATCCTAACACTTCCAAGAGAAATTCATAGACTCATTTTAGCCTTGAAAAGATTAAATTTCTAGGCAAAACAAATTGAAGAGTGAAAGTAATAAATATCTAACCGTAACCAATTAATAAAAAGTTAATAATGCTGAAACTCAGTCACCAGTATTGGATGTGTTGTCCGTATACCACCTACTAGACAATTGGTTCCTTCTGTTACTCTTTCACAGGAGGTCCTCCATCTAATTTGCTCTCTCTTTATGCTTTCGATTTCCCTCCCCCTCTCTCAAGCTCCTTCAGTAATGCATATTTTTCCTCTCTATTTCAACCCCCTTTTACTATTTTGCAACACCATCTCACCCCAATTACCAGCGATAAATGAAAAGAGCAACACTGCAACATGTCTCTCCACATTTTGTGCCAAAAAGGTATTTTAATGATCAAAACCAAATTTCTTATATTAAAGTTTCTGCATGATACCATTACCATAGGCTTCTAGACGAATTTGTGGTTGGTTAGACTACAATTCGAGGAAAAATTCCTCTTTCCTTTTAATAAGAGTTAAAACCGTAACAATAAACAAGCCAATTAACAAATGTATTTGGATGAAAATGTGAGCCATGCAAACTTTCTTTTACCCTTTTTGTCTCGGTCTCCCTAGCCACACTCAGCCAATGCAAAACCTTGATTAAATACAATAGAAAAAAAATATTTATTTGAATTTTTTAAAATAATTCATGAATTTTTAAAAATATTATGTCAAATGTTTATTATATTCCCAAATGATAAGTTACTAAAAAATCAACGGGTTTGAAAAGAAAAAAAAGAAAGAAAACATATCACCGGTAGCTATAGGTGAGATGAAGTTGTCAAGAGGGAAGAAATTAAGTTAGTCTTCTATATTTATACTCGAAAGATTTTGCAATGTTTCAGCATATAATATAGTGATATGTTGGCAAAGATCAAAATTCTTTCACTGGTGGGAGAATGGAAGTTATTATCTTTTTGAGACGGTCAAGCTTAACACAGCAAATACCATCAATAAAGCAGTGATTTGGTATTCACCGGGCGCACACAAGTGGCGGAGCAAGATTTCTTGTTTGCAGAGCGAATAAAAGGTGGGTCGGTTGTGCGATTTTAGGGTAATAAGGCTTGAGAAATAATTCTATCGCAAAAGGTTTTACTTTAGTTCCTAATGACATGTTTGGTTAGTCATTCCTTTTATTCCTCAAAAAATTTTCCCTCTCCGTTTGGTTCATTGTTGGAGCCAAAAATAGCCATTATTTCGAATGAATATGCCCTAAAATCTTGTAAAATTTTAGAATGGCTATGTTCGCTATTCTATAACCACGAAAATAGAGTCCAAAATATTTTGGACTAAAATATCCTTATATTAAAAATTTACAAACATAAATATATAAATACTCTTAATTAAAATAAAACATTTAAATTTATTAATATTTTAATGTTTTAAACATAATAATGTTTACATTACAAATAAAATATTAATATTTTAAAAATGTTAATTTTTAAATGTTGTTTCAAATGTAGCTGAGGTGATGAAATATAAGGGAGGATGATGGATTTTTGCTTGCTCCAATTTCGGAATTGATGAATTTGGACATAATGTTGTTCGGCTTCTATTCTGTTTGGAGAGTTTTTTTTTTTTTTTTGTGGTTTTTGTTCTAGGAAGAAGGGGCAGTGAATAAGGGACTCAAAAGGCTTTGACCCTTGGGCGGACACACCAAGGGCCTTTAGTAACTGGCGGATTCCACAAGGAGGACTAAGATGGCTGCCATACAAGCTTTTAGAATCCACCCACTTTAGTCTTTCCCCCCATTTTTTTGTCCCCCACTTCAGTTGGCTATCCATTTCTGGTTTCCTTTCAATCAGGCCATCCTATGCTCCTTTTCTTTTACACTTTTCATCTCTCCACTTCACCAATTCATCAATTTCAGCCTCCATTTATTCTAATCATCTTCTTTTGTTTCATTGTTTTATTTATTATTTATTTTCATTCATTTTTTAAATTTTCTTTATTTGTCAATTTCATCCTTCAAATTTCTCTTCTTTTCAATTTGATCCTTCAAACTTTTTATTCTTTTCAATTTAGCCCCTCAACATTTTCTTCTTTTTTAATTTAGTCACTCAATATTTTTCTTTTTTTCAATTTTATCCCTCAATATTTTTTTCTTTTTCAATTTAATCCTTTTCTTATTTAATCACACTGTCATTTAATGTAATTGCATTCTTACTTTTGCAATGGCATTATTCCTCCTTCCATTCCGTATCCATTGTTTTATTTTCTACTTTCTCATCCTTACAATTTCATCCTCATGCATACTTTTCCTTGTAATTTAGTACGTTAAAGGTGAAATTAGAATTAATTGGCTCTAAGAACATCATCATCATTATCCTTTTTATCTACCTTAAGCCTTTCTCCTTCATTTTCTACTTAGCACATGAGCTAAATATCCTATATTCTTAACTTGAAACCTATATTCTCCCATGAGCCTAGTGGGCAACCTCAGTCATTCCAGCTTGTCGACGATCAGAATGTTACAGAAATGCCACTTGACCTTATTATCATACCATATCAACATACCACATCGTCATCCACTATAAAACATCAATATGTCATAACAGTATCATATGATATAAAATAACAAATGATATTTTAATTAATAACAATTAGTTAATTGTTAGTAACAAAGTTCTATTTGATTCAAAATAAAAGTATAAAGCCTTAATTGAATGCATTGAAAAATTAAGAGTTTATGTGAATTTTTTTAAATAATTTAAATTTTTTTTAAAATGATATATCTATTCTTAATAAATATTTATGATTTTAAAATAATACTTTCATATATGAATAGTTTGAAGGTATTCATAGGATATTCTTTTTCAATTTTTGAAGGTTGGTGACTACTTCTACTTACATATTATAGTTTATTTTTAAATAGATCCAAATGGTGATTAATTACATTACCAAGTTTTCTACCTCTCCGATGGAATTCTTGTTTTATGTGGAGAGTATACCGGGGGTTGTGCATTATTTACCTTTCTCCAATGGCCGAATAAGGATGCTTTATAACGTCCCATTTTATCACTGTCAGCTAGCTTGGAATAAAGTTATCAAGTAGGGATAGAATTAAATCGTTCTTTTATAATTAGAGAAGACATCCAAGTTAAAAACTGAAAAGAGAAAATTTTTTTTCAAAAAACATATTGGTTGACTTGTAACTCTGTACGGTTAATTATTAGCATTATCATTGGATAAAATTAAACAAAACCCACGTTGACAGAATATAATGTTGAAATCTCATAAATCCAAAATTAGTACTTTTTGGTCATTGAGATAAGAATTTATTGGCAAACGAATCAACTTATTTTAGAATTAACCAACAAATAGTATAATATAAGTTCCAGCATACATATACACAAGTATAATATTACTTTCCACATATACACAAGTAAAATAATCTGGTCATATTTGCTCAGTTTTTAACCACAAGAAACCCTCTACTTCAAAATCAATTGATTTTTAATAGAATCATTAAATGAAAAGTCAACATTCAACTTAAATATGAACATGTTGACATTCGTTTGTCAAAATATTTTAAGGACAACATAATCAAATTGACGAAAAAAACAAAAATCAACAAGTACAAGATGTTTATAAGCATCAGCATGATGTCGTTCTTTGACATACATTGTCCCTTCACTAGTTATCATGAAATTAGTTTAAGGTTAAAATTATATAATAATCTTCAAAGATGAGGTGTTTTTGAAAATAACTTTTTTCATAATTTTAATTGTTTTTAGTGAAGAGAAAAGATCTTCAGACCACATTTAATGAAATCTGCTCATATTGAAGTGCACATACCATTTGAAAATAAACTCCTTGTATTCAAGCACACATGCAATTTGAAAATAAACTCCTCGTACTCAAGCTCATGGGCT